CTCACGGCTCGGTGAGATTTGCTCCAGATTTACACCCTGGAAAACCACAGGGCGATTTGTGAGGATGGGGCTATGCGGCCTCTTGGAGCACCGCAGGGTTTGGGGTTTCACGGCTCGGAGGCACCGGAACGGCAACTGCTCCATCTGGTGGGAACGCCTTGGTCTGGGCTGGGACCTTGGGCTCGCAGCTTCACCTCACAGAGCAGGTGGCCGTGGCCTGGCCACCACACAACCATCTCCACGGGTCCTTAAATAAACTGGGGCTGAGCCAGGGACGGCTTCTTTTTGGTTTTAAACATATGATTTTACAAAGGTTTAAGAGGAGAATTCATGGGAGTGCAGCTCAGCTCAGCAGCGCAATGCAGGTGCTTTGCTGATTAGTTGAGCAATCTTAATATTTAAAATAAAACCCAATGAGCAAGATAAAAATGGAAGCAACTGCTTTCACTGCAGCTGTGTGCTAACAACATAAACCAGTCGCAAAGCTGTGGTGTGGTCTGGCTGAGCAAAGTCCCTCAGCTGCCAGTAATTCAACAGCCCATTACCATTTTATCCTACATCAAACATTTCTTGTTTCTTCACTATAAATGTACATATAAACAAGAGAGGATGCAGCACCCAAGGACTTGTAGAAAGCTTCCAGCATTCATAATTCAAAAAAACAGACACAAAATGCAGAAAGAAGTTGTATGCTCAGCATTTAAACTTGCCTTCCATATCAGTATTTGCTTGCGCACAACCAAGGGAGAGCACTGAGAGGAGAGGCTGTACAGCAGGACTCACCTCCAAATTAATGATCACTGAATCATTAAGGTTGGAAACGACCTCTAAGATCATCACATCCAACTAACAACATAACCTCACTATGGCCAATAAATGGTGCAAGTGACTTGCAGCAGGTTCTGTACCACCCAACACACCTGATGAGATGTACGGAGACACACAGACAAGAGATGCTGGAAGGAGAGGGGAAGAAATACGTATTTGCTATCCAAGTGTGGCACTTCTGTATCCAGGCGAATTGGTGTAAATACACCAGCAGTTCTTATTGTAAAGTACGGGCATTTCTCTGCTGGAAATGCTGTCCTTGACTATTCCTGCGATCTGAAAGCTGCAAGTGTCAATACATCAGCGCTGAAGGCTGCTGAGTGCCTAGAAATAAGGCGATGTCATTTCCAAAAGTAAGTGACCACCAGGCTGCCATTAGCTCTGTCGGCACAGAGGGAGCGATGGCTTTTTGCAACTTTGATTTACTGGCAATTGTTGGAAAAGAAGCAAGCAAGAAATGAAAACCCAATATTTCCATTACAGTTTACTTAATAAAAAAATATTGTAGGAAAGTCAGACATCATAAAGTGCCCATCTTCTCTCTATATTTACAGGATCGTACAATAACTCGAGCCAGACCAGTAATCAATTTTAAAAAGCCCTTTGCAATTGAAGGCACGGACAAGCAAGCATTCAATATCCTCACAGCAAACTAGCAGTGATGCTTCACCCCAAGCACAGCCAGGCTGCGCTACAGCATGGGGCAGGGGTAAAGACTTCTTCTGGTCCTTCTCATTATCTTCACTTACTACAGGTCCTGCATAAGTCTTTGGTTTTGCTGTAGATACCATGACTCCGTGCTAGGGAACAGTCCTGGAGGAGATGGGTTGAGGAGGACCATGTTACCCTGCTCAACTGCTCTGCTCCAGTGTCCCCCCCACCACATCCACACCAGGCTCTCTGCCCCATAGGCCATGGTGCCTTCCCTGAACCTGCACTGGCTTCAGCTCAGTGTCCCTCCTCCTGCTGAGCCGATCTCCCCTAAGGAGACAGCACTAGTCCATTTGAGATGCTTTGCCCATGGGCTGGTGGGTTTAGGCCTACCGTGGGTCCATCTATGCTCCACCACAGATGCTAAGTCTCTGCTCACGCTGTCCCAGTAAGGAGCTTAGGCAACTCTGTACATTCAACTGTGTCAGAAGAACTGAATCACTTCACACACGAGTCACTTTGGGCCATATCTACAGGAACTTCCTTTAAGTGGAGAAAGTTCAGGCCGCTGCTGGAGGAAATGCAAAGAGGTTGCACCAGGAAATAAAGGATCATTTCCCAGTGCGGATCATTCACTCTGGGTGTGTTGAGACCCCCGAAGACATCCTTCAGTCGAATAGTTTGGGCTCCCAGCAGGACCAGGTACAAGCCTGTGGCCCACTACTAAGACAGACAAAATGATGCAATGCTGCTTTCTTCCTAAAATCTGCAACCTGTCCTCCAAAGACATTTAAAGACAAAACCTGCTGTTAAAATAGGTGCTAATTTTGAGGCACGTGATGCAGCGAGAAGCTTGAGGGAACTGGAGGGGCCCTGCTGTAAAGTCAAACCAGCACTTCTGCCAGAGCCAACCAGGGCTGTTTATTTCTCAGTCGATTGCTTAATCTATTTTAATGATTATCAGTACTGATGTTGAGTGTAATCACCTTGTCTGATACAATCGCTAGAATCTAAAAGTCAACTTGATTTTAATGGTTTATCATTAGGAGTATTATTTAGTCGGATTAAACTGGTCTTAATTCTTCCGCTGTTATAATTTAAAAGCTGTTTGGAGCACATTACAGCGACCCCTCTCATGACGGTATGAATCAATGCCCTGTCTCCATATCATATATTTTCCGCAGCATCTAGCAAGCAGCCACAGGGATGGATACCAAAACTATTAATATTCATGAATTGTCCCTACCACCATTAAAATTCCCTTAAAGCGCACCAGAGCAGTGGTTGGATTTACCTCATCAAACCCGGTGTGTGACGGCATCCACAGAATCTTCTGTGGATGATGGAGAACCACGTTAGCTAAATTATTTGATTAATTTGTTTAAAAATAAAGCCCCGAAGACATCTTAGATCTTTCCTTCAGTTAATGAGATTTCCATGATAGTTAAAAAAATAAAATTAGGAGACAATGCCGTTAATCTTGGATTACATGCAGCACGGGGGAAGACTTAGTAGCATCAAGCAAGAAGATTAAGACAACAAAATAGCTGCGGTAGAAGTTACACGCAGTATTTTCCTATCTGAGATCAATGACGAGGTGATGAGGATCTACCAGTCTCTCCTCTGGTCCATTTGGGCAACTTCTCCTTCTGACACGGCGTGGGCTGGTTCTGAGAATAATTATAGAAAATAATTAAGGTTTGAGCAAAGGGCTGACAAGGAGCTCCCATCCCAACCGGCGAGAGAAAACAGCAAGGACAACTTTATGTATTTGATCAGCACTTGCAGTCAAATGGCTAATCAGAAATAAGGTACTCTCAAGTATTCAGTTAACCCACATACTAAATATTACATGGATATGAACTGTCAGTAAATAACTGGTGTTGCTTCACACTTTAAAAGTTGAATTATTTTCCATTAAAAGTCTCAAATTAAATCAGAGTAACTTTATAGACCCCATATTTGGCTGCTCTAATAAACAGCAGCATGAAGCGGGGATAAAAAGACATCCCAAAATAGGATTACATATAGCAATAAAAGGGGGAATAATCTTTGCAGAAATGATGCACGAACAAATTCTAACGGCATTAAAAAGTAACGAGTCATGGTTTCAATCACCAGCTGGGTGAGTTCGCTAATCTCACATATACAGTGTACAAATCTGCGAGTACGACAAATTGCATTTTAATTTATGTACTGAAAAGGTTAACTTCTAACATCCTCACCTCGCTTCAGAAATCAGGGAAAACACGAACACGTTCATCCTGGGTACACATCAAGACTAAAACAGGAACGGGCTTCGCTGGGGTGGATCTCCAGAACCACCCCCACCTTTTCGTGCGGTTTCATCTGTGGTGCGTGAAGCTCTACAGAAGTTCGGAGAGAAAAATGCTTAATTTTTAGTGCTTGCTTTTGGCAGCAATTTATTATTTACTAGCTTTCATTATTTAGAAACAAAATTTAAATCACTTCCCTTTGACAGTT